CTCCCCGTCCAACAGCCAAGATTAGAGCATGAAGAGAGTCGCCATCGAATCGAATACCAAACAAATTCAATGCCGTTCGCATAATAAGTATACATTAACAAGTACATATGCTCGTTCTAACAGTTTCTATTGATAACTATGGAAACATGAAAGCACAAACGAATGTGGCGAAAAACGTACTACTTCTCTAAATGCCAAACTTCTCGAGCAATCATTTCTCTCACTCACAGACGCACACGCCAAACCTCTTTCAGCACACAATACAAACTATTATTATCGCGCAAATAGTTTGCACAAATATGAATCACGCCGCATTTATTCGTTATTGATGTAGAACGATGAATCAGATTTATTGTGCACGATTAACGAATGGTCGGCTTGCAGTGCGAACACGCCTTTATGAAAGATACAATTTACACAATAAGAAGTTCCACATGTGTGCTCTTAGTAGAAAGCCCAAGTGTTGTTAAGTTTCCGGTCCTCGCTCATATTTTTATAAACTCTCAAATTTAGTTCTTTACGTCGCTCGACTACAACGACGACGAATGGGCAGCGATTCAGTTTAATAGTGTAAAAGTGGCTAGTCAGAGCGAAAAAGTGCGCGTACAGACTAGTTCCGAAATGACAACTACACATGAATATCGATCGCTAAATAAACCTTTTTAAAGGCGCCAAGTGAGGAGCCTCACAAAGAATATGAAAAAAGAAGAAATATCGCTGCCTCGATATTCAAACCGGATAATGCTAGTTTAATCCAAAGAAAACGTGCAATCACAAAATATTTCGAAATTTCGTTCCGAAATTCTACGCTCGAAAACAAAGTTTAGTCATAGCCTTGTCACTTGTGGCAGTAAATATAGAATCAAAGAAAGTAATATGATAGAATAAAGAATTCTGAGGACAGTGCAGTGACAGGGTATGTTACACTAATTTCGGCACCACTGGCAAGAAATCGATGACAAGTTCAATGTTTATACATTTCTTTAAACGTTTATCATAGTACACGATCAATAAACTCAGAACGAGATTCCAATTTGTTTGCACTTTTCCTAGTGTCCCCACTTTCTCACCACTAAAATAGCTACGCATTAAGAACCATTAGGTCAGATAAATCACTAAGGGAGATTATGCTCGTATGTGGGAGCGATCTGAAGAGGTAAATCCTAGGTGTTGCGAATAAATTCCCCTACCAA